CCGGATGAACTCCAGCGGGAATGTCCGATGCCCCCGCGTCGATTGGACCCGTAGGGGTACTTCGCAAGTGGTCGCAGCTTGGAGTCGGCCTGGGGCTCTGAACTGGATGGCCCTCGAGAAAATCGCTCAAGAAGAAGGGATAGAAGGCAAATCCGCTCAAAATCGATTCCTGGGCCCCTCCTGGGGTCCATCTGGTGCAATTGTTCACCCAAAATACATTTTGACGGTCCAGGGGCTCGAAAACGCCCCCCCCCCCCGGGGAGCCCGAAGAAAAGCACAAAACCTTCCAGAGCCCAGCAGCTCGACCCTGGCGCCCCCCCTCCCTGCTCGCACCTCAGACCCCCAGCCGGCCCCAGGTCACAGCCCCACGTCTGGGGCAACTATGAAGGGGGGACTGGACTGGGGGGGGGGGCGGGGGACATCGACGTGGAATCGTCCATGCAGCGCCGGCAGATCGGCGATAGGCCCCCGAATCGCAAATCCCAACGTTCCCGGGCGGGGTGGACAAGTGGGGGTCGATGCATCCCCCCCTACTCCAAATCCCTTACTAATCGTCCCCCGGGTCCGGCTTTTTAAAGCGCCTTTTCTGTGACGGGGGGGGGGTCCGGTTTATCAGGGCGCTTTCTTTAGATTGGAGCTTAGCAGGTCCAGTTTATCAAGGCGCCCCGTCGAAGAGGGGGGTCCGGAATGTGAGGTCGCACTTGGAGGGGGACTGGCTTTTTAGGGGGGGGGTCGATTAATTAGGGATTTGGAGTACGCGTATCCCCCCCCATCGGTGCCCCTGACCACGTCAGCTCGCAAGAGCGCGGGAGAAATCTCCTCGAGCGCGGCGGCGACCTTCTGGCCCGCGCCCCCGCCGGAGGCGGAGAGGCAGGCCGCGCACAGCACCGCGCACACGAGCGCAGCGAGCAGGCCGTAGCGGGCGGCGGGCACCGCTGCTTCGAGGGGAGAGCACGCTGACCATGTGCAAGGTCAGAGTGGGAGCCATGTGTACATACGTACATACACACATACAAACCTACCTACCTACCTACCTGCCTACCTACCTACCTACCTAATTGCCTACCTACCCACCTACCTACCTAATTGCCTACATACCGACCTACCTACCTGCAGACATACATACATACATACACACAGTCACACACCAACGCGCATACCTACCTACCGACCGACCTATCTATATACATACATACAGACAGACGTAAAGACATACATACATACATACATACATACATACATACATACATACATACATGCATGCATGCATGCATGCATGCATACATACATGCATACATACATACACACATTCACACACATACATACATACATACATACATACATACATACATACATACATGCATGCATGCATGCATGCATGCATACATACATCCATACATACATACATACATGCATGCATAAACACGTGCATACATACTCACACATCCATACGTACATACATGCATGGATGCATGCATGCACGCATGCATACATACGTGCATACATACATACACATACCTGCATACGCATATACATACATACATACATACATACATACATACATACGCACATACATACATACATACATACATACATACATACATACATACATGCGTATGCACCATGCATACATTCATAGATACATACAAACATACATGCATACGCACACCTGCATGCATACATATATACATGCGTATGTACATACTTATATGCATGCATACATGCATGCATACATATACACATACGTGAATGCATGCATGCGTGCATGCATACATGTGTACATGCATACATGCATATATGCACACATGCATGATTGCAGGCATACATATACATATATGCGAACAAACAAACCAACATACCAGCAAACATACATCTATATACATACATGCATACAAACTTGCACATGTGCATACAGTCGTACATACAAACATACAGACTTACACACACATACATCAAGAAGTCAATACATGCATACATACATGCATACACGCAGACATAACTCCATCCATACATTCAGACATCCATACCTACATGCATGCATACTTAGTCATGCATGCAAACATAACTGCATACATGCACACATGCATCGATTCATGCATGCATTGATATACACCTATACATATACATGCATGTGTACATACCTAGGTACATACATATGTGCATGCATACATGCAGGCATGTGTACATGCATACAGGCATGCATACATACATGCATACATGCATGCATACATGCATGCATACCTACAAATACACACAGACCTCACACGAATTACATACACTACGTACATAACACATATTCCATAGATGAATACAGACATGAATACATACATACATACATACATACATACATACATGCATGCATACATACATGCATACACACATACGTACATAACATACACACCTATATAGATCCATACATACATACGTACATACACACGCAAACATACATGCAGGCATACATACAGACAGACCGGTCTACAGACATACAGACAGACTGACTGACAAACATAAAGACAGACAGACAGACAGCCAGACATGCAGACAGCCTGACATTCAGACAGCCAGACACACACACACACACACATACATACATACATACATGCATGCATGCAGACACACAGATAGACATGCATGCATGCATGCATGAATGCATATATACATACATACATCTGGATATATACACATCAAGGTGTCTGGAACCTGTCCTATGGGGCTTCGCAGAAACGCCACGGGGCAGCGTATAGTGTATAATTTCCTGGCGGGGTCCTCTGGGCGACAGACGTTCACTAAAATATATACACTGTGTTTGGACCGCCAGTCGCCACTAAGTGGTGGACAAACATGACATTGTATAGCGGACATGTTCGCAACTCCGACAGAGACCTCCTAGACGGAGTCCGAGTAGATGGGCTCGGAGGAGCGCGCCGAATCGCCGATGCATCGGCGATGCAGCTCTTTGCGGAGCCCGACTTTCTCCACGCCAACGTCGCCGATGCATCGGCCATGCATCGGCGATGCATCGGCGATGTGGCGCGATCCTCCGAACCCATCTACTCGGACCCCATCTGGCAGACCGAAAAAGATGTCGCGAGATTTTGTCGACGCAGATCTTGGTGATGGTCCATTCTGGCCGTCGCCGATTCGCGAGGATGATCCACGGAACGACGGTGACCAAAAACGCACGGTAACCAAGATCGACACCGACGTTTCCACGTTCAGTCGTTGTCATGGTCCTCGTCTTCTTCCCCTCCAGATGCGAGAGGCGCGAAGCTGGACAGCGCGGCGGGCATCGCCGTCATCATGACCTCGGCAGCCCCTGAGATCGGGGCGTTGCGATTCTTGCTCACGCCGGGCGCTTTCGCTTGGCTGCGGGCCGGACCCATCACACATCGATCCGACTCGAAAAATGCTCCAGAAAGACGAGCTCCAGGGATCGTGATTCCTCGAGATGTTGCAATATTTTCGTAACGTAAGATCGGCAGACGAAAGGTGTCAACCCTGTGGGTTTCGGGAGGCCTTCGTTGCTTCTTGGGGACTTTCTCGCCTCGGGCCGACCCCCGGGCGGATGCCTTAATCGTCCCGACTGGCCGCCAGAGCCCGAATTTGGGCCCCAAAAAAATCTCCGCGTCTTGCAAAATAATCGTGGCGGGAAGTGCCTGGCAATTGTCGGCCTCCCTCAGGGCCCTTGCCAAGCCCCAGGGGCGTCAAAACACAACCTGTTGGGCGTCGCTTAGGGGTGGGCGATACGTGGGAGAGGACGAAGGGTACACTCTTCGGGCCCTAAAGACACCCTTCTGGGCCCGAAAGGGCCCTATTAGGGGCCCTCAAGGGCCACTTTTCTGCAGCCCTCGCTGCCCCCCCATTTATCACCTTCCCCTTTCACCGGATGGCCAAAAAAAATCTCCACGTCTTGAAAAAGAATCCCGACGGGTGGTTCCTCCGTCCTCCCTCCTCCTCCCTCCTCCTCCCTCCTCCTCCCTCCCTCCTCCCTCCCTCCTCCCTCCCTCCTCCCTCCTCCCTCCTCCTCCCTCCTCCCTGCCTCTCCTCTGCCCTCCTCCTCCCCCTCCCATCCTCCCGAGACACAGGGCGCGCCCTGATCGCCGCGTGCTGTCTCGAGGGGCGCTGGGGCCGCGGCCGTGACAGGGGGAAATGGAAGAGTAGGCCGTTGATGGAGGAAGGGTTTCCCTCCAGGGTGAGTAATTTTGAGCCAGGAAGCAGGTGAGCCTCGATTGCTGCGGCGGGGGCAGGGGGAGGGGAGGGGAGGGAGACGGCGCCGGAGCGAGAGCACGGAGGGCGTCTGCATCGACGCCGCACGCACGCGAAGCCAGCCTGCGTGCAGCACGCGACTCAGCCAACGGCGCACAGGCGAACTCGTGGGCCAAACACGCGTGAATCATACATCACGAATGGTGCGATAAGCTGAACGCCGAAGAAAAGTGTTTCGATCGAGTGTTCCACCATTTTGTCTTAACACTGACACTTTGACCAACGACTGCAGAAACAGAGCAGGACACACGCACACTAAACATGGTGAACTAGAAACGGCAAGCCAACGACCCCTCTGAAAACACTTGACCTATTCGCACGTAGCTCTCCGCCTGTATAGAAAGACCTTGTCGCGACGACTCGCGCATTGGCTTCTGACACCGCGAGGATCGCTCAACCTTGAACGAACGCGTCTTGTCGCTAAGGACTGAGCGACTGCTGCTGTACCTCGACTCGGGCTGCAGCCTCCACGATCCGCTCCAGAATGATCTGCCCACCTCTGGATCCACCTCGAGCTATGGATCTCCGCCAGCTTACGCGGACTGACCTCGATGATGCAGCTTCTTGATCCCCACAGGTCTGCTGGAGAAGACTCACAGCCCCGGGGCTCCCAAGACCGCGCCAAGATCGCGCCCACGAGGCCCCGCAGAGAGCTCCCAGCCTGCCTCAGAGGACCCCGAGACGGCCCAAGAGGTCTTCAAGACGGCCCAAGACGGCCCCAAGAGGGCCCCTCG